AATAAAACATAATTTAAATCGGTTCAACAGTTTCCGATAAATCGGTAAAAATACCTATATTAAAATGTATACGTCGATTATAGAAACTCCTAAAATCGGTCAATAAGGGATACATTCTTGAATTTTGTTACAAAACGAAGTGATAATTGAACTTACAGCCCACCTGATGGTTATTGGTTAATATATTCCATAGACTCACGCACCCAACGTCAAACAAATAAGACTTCAAATGAGTCACCGCCTCTGACGACTGTAATTTAACTCTCTATACCCTTCAAACCAAAACTCAGTGCCTTAAGAAATTTAACGGAAGAGATTAATTTTGATTTCAAATTATGTAATTAAACAAAAAATAAATATTTATAAAACAACTCCCAGAACACCCACAGTGCTCAAATGTTCTGTATCAAATAGACAGCAGAACGGCACATCAATAACATTGCCAACTCCCACAAAGGTGCTGATTTTTATGGGAAAAAAAAACCAAAACTCAGTAGTGCAAGCAATGCTGTTTGGTGATAGAAATATGTAAGAGAGTGGTACCTGCCCAGATGAGGAATTTCGCAAAGGAGTCCTACATAAAAATTTGCAGCAATGTTAGTTGAGCCTAAGGCTCAATTTACACTGCTGCGGAACGGAATGGAAGCGAATTTTCTCAACGAAATTGTACATAGTAGAATGAGTCTTATGTTAATTGTGTAACGCGCAAACTAGATACGTGCCAAAAAAAGAAGTCGTGCGTTTTCCGGGGAATTCTCGGTGATTCCCATAGCTACTGCCGGCGAAGTCTGTGGAATTCGGGGGAAGTGGCGCGAAGGGCGTGGAATTTAGACTAACTTTTCTACAGCACCAAGGCGATTGTCGTACAGCCCGTAGGCGAAGTCGCAGGAATGCTCGAGCATTTCGCGCAATTCGCGCGACTTCCAGCGCGTCGCGGCGAAATTGACGCTTCCGTTCCAGTCCATTCCGCAGTAGCATTTTCCTGATAACAGTTCAATATAACAAAAAAGAAATGTTGGAAACTCGCCTCTGCCAAGCGTTGCAACTATGAGGGCGAGGCCTATGTTCAGCAGTGGACTTCTGATATGCTATAACGATCATGATGACGATGATGAATTAGTTTAAAATCTCACTTATATTTGGTTTAATACTCAAAACTTATATAGTTATTTTTCATCGTTCACTAATTTTATGATTTCTGTATTTATTTTGTCATATATACATACCTATATACTAGAATATATATGTAGTCCTTTATATTTTCTGGATTTTTATACAGATATTAATTTAAGATCGTTCTTAAATCTCTCAATTCAATATATGTAATGGTATCATTTTTAATTTCGTTTTATCGGATGAAATGAAAAGTATTGCGATACGATTATTTCCAAGCGTTTGATTACCTTAAAAGCGTCAGCCCTCAAATTACTAATTTGTGTTTCGTGCCGCGAGTGTGAGCGGCTTCTCTCGTTACGGCTCGTTGAGAAATCGTGGCAAGGAGTAGCTCATTCGCTTATTATTAATGCACTAATATTAGTTTAGTTGCGCTTCAAAGTAACTCTTAACTTGTCAAGATTTCTCGTAAGTCCTTTTGAGTCTTCGATTTAGACGAGTTGAGATATTGAGATTTTACGGCATTCGTTTGTTAGAGAGACCATTTTCAAATTGTTAATTGTTTGAATTTGATGTAAAATAAGTTTGACGTTATTAGAAAAATATTTTGTTTATTACAAATGCATTGCCTTGGTTCTAATACCTCAAAATTATAAAATATTGATTGCTTTAGTAATCAATATTATTCAAAGTTATCGTCGCCCTTTAATACACATTTTTGCAGTTGGATATTACTATATTTTTTTCTAGGTCTTAATAAAAACCAATCCCAGCAGGTTGGGTATCAGTCAGCATCTATTATCCAGGAGAACTTTTTTTGGTTTTTCGCAGGACATTGAATAAAACTAAATTTACGGATTCTATCGCGTTTATTTTATTGATTTTACTTATTTTTAATTCCCGACGTTTCGGGTGCTTTAGCACCCATGGTCACGGGGGGACTGAGATGTTTGACGTCCCAATGTCATTGTTAGCCCGGCTACCTTCAGTTTTTGAATATTAATTTTGGTCCGATTTACGCAATCTTCAAGATACTGTAAGTTCGTTTTGCGTAAATAGGACCAAAATTAATATTCAAAAACTGAAGGTAGGGGCTAACTGTATTGGGAGTCTCTAGTCCCTTGGGTGCTGTAAAGCATAGTGGGATTAAAAATAAGTAAAATCAGTTTGGATATTAAATGTGTAGTGTTCGCGTAAATTTAAGAAATCATTTCGCAGGGCATCTACACGCAAGCTACTCTACTCTTTCTAACTGTATTCAGGCGCGTATTCTTTGTACGGGTGAAGGTATTGACGAAGCAAAATTCTTGTCTATACTCATTCTACTCGGGACAAACGCTCTAAAACGACTACGGCACCCCCTTACATGCTCACTATGAATTCATAAAAACATAAAGGGAATTCATTCCAACTTTAACGCCGTCCACCACTATCTAGAAACGGCAAAGACAGGCCTGCTATTTCTTACCGAGACGCATGGCATCTTATCCTTTCATGCTGCCTTTTATTTATTCTATCCATAAAGATGATTCTATCCATGAAAGAAAATATCTTGAATAAGATCCTTTGACCGCGTATAGACAGCGACGTCCGTCCCCTCGACGATGTTTGTCTTTTTGAGTCCCACAGCGATAAAGCCGACACAGACCGACCGGTAGACTACTTCCAAGTAGTTACAGGTTTCAAGATGTAACAGATCCCACCCGCATATACTCTTAATCGTGACGAATACAACGCTTACGATTACCAATCAAGCGGAACTTCTCGTAAAAACAATCATGCGGGAAGATCTGTTTATGAATTTGCCTTGACACATGATTTAACACACCCATCTTATTGAGTCTTCTGCTGACATATCATTCAAACGGATACAGTCAGTCTCTGGTCATCCGTGGTTTTCCGTCGATGCTTTTTGGCTAACCGGTTCTTTTGGCTGTAGTCTGATTTCAATCGGTCCTTAGACAGTAAATTGCAAGTATATTGCCGTTTAAGTGATCATTGCGGGCCTGATCTGCAGGCAGCTGTCGTATATGGTACTACAGGTCAGTGGCTTGGGATAGCTTCTCGTTGGATGACTTTACCGACATTGCTAAAACTATCGTCGGTGAGGTGCTTCAGGGGACGGTAGTTTTCATTCCTCATTTGTAGCGCCTACCGGTGGAAAATCTTGGCCTGTGTTTGATCGTATAGATAATAAATTAAACAAAAAAATTATAAATGTTGTGAATTCTAAACTTATAATTGAGAAATAGTAATTAATTTCGTAGAGTAAGTTCTCTAAACATGGACTACACGCATAATATGGACCATCATAATATTCTGCAAGATGGCGCTGCTATCAAAGCGAAGATATTTGCAATCGAGGGACTTGCCTCCCTTTGTCTTGTTTCTTGCCAGTGAATTGTAGCTGATCTGCATGTACGAATGTGCCAGCAGCAGTAATTTTGAGATTTTAGCGTTGTTTGATGTAATTTTCCGGCAAGCTTTATAACATTATTACTGCTACATTTACAATTATTATATTTTGACTGTCTACGTTGTGGAAACGTTATACTTAGAGTGACTAATTACTCATAAACTATCCCGTAGCTGTATCTCATAACATTTTATTTTACGAAATTATGATTTTGATATTGCATCATTTTGTAATATGGACCCATGAATAGTTTTAAAATGGACTAGTGGTCCATATTATAATCCACTGGTCTATATTATAAAACTTGTTCACTTTTTGTTTTAAGATATGGTGTTTGTTTTTACGTGGTAAAGCCATGCTGCAGCTATATCAATTGTATAGTTATATCACGAATAGGTCGGCTCGACCGGGGAAGTACCACGCTCTCACAGAATACCAGCGTCAAATAGCAGCTTAATGCTGCTGTGTTTCGTATGGTGAGTGTAGAGAACCGGAGACCCTTTTTACTGGAAAAGAGGCATTCCATCTTAGTCCTCAAGGCTGACAACGCATCATCATTTTGATTCGCAAACGAGGATAGATGCAGATGTCTATGGTCCACAGCAACCACTTAGCATCAGGTGGACTGTGTGCTAGCTTGTCACCCTTTTCCTATAAAAAAACGCCACCCAAATTTCTCATTTCGTTAACCAACTAGTACCTACATCCATTGCGCGGCTGAAGAATTACTGAGGGGATTTGGTCGAGGCTACTGTAAGTAACAGAAAAAAAACAGTGATGGACATGGCATCATGGCAACAAGCCAACTTTGTAGATCGTAGAGCTTGGAGAAAGAAAAGTTTTCGACGGTCTCATAGATCATCTGCTGTTATTGGATAAAATAATATTTTAAATCTGAAGGGAAAAAATGCATAATTTTTTTAATTTCGAATTTTAAAGGGTAATAACCCCATTACGTTTTTTAAAATGGTTATAAATCACCTAACGTTATGATAAAAAGCAGTATATTTGTTAAAAACGTATGATGTGAAAACATGATCTGAAGCAAAAATATCTACTTGTAAATATTAAAATAGACTGCTCCAGTTGATCCGCAGACTAAACACATCCCTAGGTAGGAAAATAAACATTGTTACTGTGTTAGGTTTGTAATCCCTTGCAACAATCTGCCGATCCTATTCAGGATAAACATTGAGCAAAACAAATATTTAGATTAAGATGACGAAGAAGACTGAAATATTTAAAAATAAAAATATTCAGAGATAATACAAATGGTTAGTAGTATACAAAATTACTTAGATAAAGATTCTAATTTTAGCTATTAACGACATCTATGGAATATAATGGTGCACTAATGTGTAACAGAGACTATAACATAAAACTTCACACGACTATGCATAGATGGCGCTTTGTTTTGTTTTAAATTTGAAAGCTTTCAAAAACAGGTTTTTCTACTTATTATAAGACTTACCTATTAGCTGTTAGGGTCGTCATCTCGACGTTATTGCCACAAGCTGTCAGAATTTCATCACAACTGCTGCCACCTGTTATGCGTTGTACAGAACTTTCTTCGTTTGCATTCTTTCCGGCAGTCGTAGCATTGCCGCTAGATGGCGCTATTCTCTGTTTCGACGCTTGCTTATGACGACTCAATGCAAAAAATAAGGCGAGAACAGCTTTAAGTTTTGCGTCTCGAATGTCTACAGCTGTCACTTGTTCTAGTCCCTGGACTTTTTGCGCGTGGAGGAAGTCTAAACAGCACTGCACGTTTTCCAACTGAAAAGACAAACATAACATGTTATTTTTGCACAGCCCAAATTAAAGAAAATTATTTAAAAAGTGTGTAAATTCGTAGCGTTCAAAATTTATTAACATAAATGTATCTAATTAACAGAAATCTATGGTTAAAAAGGCTGGCCCAACCTGCGAACTCAGTAGAACCAGAGTAACCGACATAGCCCAATGGATTAGTAAACTAAAGTAGGAATGGGCCGGCTACATAGCTCGAAGAACCGATAACCGATGGGGGAGAAGGTTCTCGAGTGGTAGCCTCGTACCTGCAGGTGAAGTGTAGGGCATCCCCCCACTAGATGGAGTGACGACCTGGTAAGATATGCAGGAATTCGATGAATGCAGGTGGCTCTGGACCATGCTTTGCGATGAATGATGATGATGATATGATCAGTTTTAATAATATTTAAATAAATATTATAAAGTGGATCATGGCCAAATAATAACCATTCACAAACGTTTAAATATTGTCAGCTTTTAGAACTAATTAAGAACTATGGATATGTATACTTATATATAAAAACTATCATTGTATAAGTAGAATTTTTTGAACTTTTTAGTATGTATAATCTAGGTACGTATAACACAAAATTTTGACAGACGATGAGCCGGTGAACTGTTAATCCGTTCGCCGTTATTAATCCTTCGAGCGCTTTATAAACAGATCACTTCTTGCCTACTGTAACAGCTTAATGTTGCTATGTTTCGTATGATTAGTGTAGAGAACTGGAGGCCCTTTTTACTGGAAACGAGGCATTCCATCTTAGTTCTCAGGGGTGACGATGCAACTACGTTTTGATCCTTAATCGTGGATAAATCTAGATGTCTATGGGCCACAGTATCCACTTACCATCAGGTGGACTGTGTGCTCGTTTGTCACTCTTAATCTATTTAAAAAAAACTCATTTAAGTTAATCTACCAGGTTAATCCACAGGTATCTGAAGTAAAAAAAAAACCGCAACCATTTACAACAACGTTATATCTGTCGTTTCTTGGAGTTCATACTTTTTCAATTTCTCAGACATGCAGATTTCCTCACAGCTTAAAAGTTTACTTTACCGCCGTGTGTGTGTATAATGACAATTTATAAATACTTTCAGACGTTTCAGTGGATTGCTCGCGTAGTAATAATGTCCTCCAGACCGAATTCGGCCACGGCGGCCTGTCTCAACGGAGGTTAGCCATCGGCGCAGGACAGGATTATAGTGCCCAAGTGTATGCAAAGCACAGGTGCACTTTCTATTCCTTCACTCTCATAATCCGATGGGACGGTCAACCGACACAACCGGAGAGAGATCAGGCGCAGGACCAAAGGCTTTACGTGCTTTCCGAGGCACGGGGGTGAGACACCGCCAACTTCCTGACTCCGGGCAACTACTGAGAATTTCTTGACGGAAAACTCAATAATTAATTTTTGGCCCGACCCGGGATTCGAACCCAGGACCTCATATTCAGCAGTCTTACTACTACAAAACACTGCTCGCGTAGTATTAAAATTAAAGTGAGCTCCTATTCACTGAGCTACCACGGCTCCAATGGCTTAATGGCTTAAGTTAATGCCATACCGATTGCCATATCGTATCATGAGCTAGGACTGGAGCCCGTTCGCAACAGCTGCGAGATAATTCGCATCACGCTAAAATGGAAAGTAATCTAGCGCTAAAAACGCTGGGCTCGAGGGACTCGTCGCGATTATTAATAAACGCTAAGCTTTTACGTTCGTCGGCACTATTGTCATGCGCTTGCGTTTCCGATGTTACGCGTTCCGCGTTACTAATGAGCTTATCGCTTTAAATGAACCTCGAACAATAAAATGTCAACATAAATACAACATAAATGAACATTCGGTGCGCTTTATCACTCTCCGCATCTATAGACTGTTACGCAAGAAGTACTGGCCTGCGTCCGTGTAACAGATTTTAAAACTGCGTTTTATTGTTGACCTAATTCTTTTAACCTTTTTATACACGTGTCACAAAGACACACACAGTATTTCTGATAGTAATGAATGTTGCTTGTGGAGTTGTGGTACATAGACATCGTCAATCGCATTACCTCTGAGACAGTAAAGGGCTAAGGCAGTATTTCACGTTAGTATTACTGGTACTGACGGGCTTTTCTCGGTCGAGACTCGGGACCGACCCATTCGTATTGCAACCATAGAATTATTAGGCTATTGCAACTATAGCACGCTGTGTCTCGCCTCTAGACTTAGACCCACAGAAATATTAATAATTATTACGATTTAGTTGCTTAGACCATTCAATCCAATGGACTCGCCTCACATGATTATTCCCATCTGCGGAAGTATTGGATTTCAAAATCTTGTGCGTTTATAAAAACTGTTTACGGAATCGATTTCGTCATTACAAGAATCGTTTCCGTCGCTGTAGGTGCTTTTTAAAAAATGCCTATTTGTGCAGTTAACGTGTGCAAAAAAGTCTAATACTTCAAATTTACAAAAAGATGGAGTAAGCTTTCATTCTATTATAATCATTTAACATAATATCATAAATAATAATCGCGATCTTTACAGATAAGGTAATCGAATATATAATATTTCATAAACATCGTAGTGATAATCGAAATGTGACAAGCACTCCCCACGAGATTAGTTATATGTTTTTTTCCACAAAAGCATATTATTGTAATAACAAAATGAGGGCTTGTTACTTAAAACATAAGTTCCTCCACTTTTTGTTTTTGGTACTTAGAGCCTTTTTTCTGGAATTAATGTTTAACCATGCCTCTTTAGAAGTCTCTGTATAAAGCCGCGAACAAACCGACAGGCTGTTGAACCTGGCGAAATTATAAGCGTTCTTTGTTGTGTTACTACGGAACCCTAAAAAAACTTACAACGCTGACCAAATAAAACCATGATTTTAATTTTTCGAGTGTATTTTGCAAATGCTTGTGAGTTTTTCTCTTTTTCTTGGGGAAACTATCGATATAAAATATCGATATGGTACCATCGAGATTAATTTGTCCATCTTATAACCATAACTTTTTCTATGATGATGTATTTAACTTACATGTGTGCGTAAAATGTAATAGTGTTGGAGATTTAGTTTTGTGTGTGCCTTAATGACACAAAATTTTACTGAGTAGGTGTGCAGTACTGTCTATGTAGTGTTTCCTCCCCGCACCAAAACTGACAGAATTTTTTGTTCGTAGCATTAGGCATTATTCGTCCATTGGGTTGAATGGTCTAAGCCTCTAGAACGTGAAATATTATGTTCTCAAAAAAAAATTATTTGGAAGACACGTCATTCCGTAGGACTTTTACCGACTGGAGAGGAAATAGTTACCTAAAGTTGTTAGTAGTCACTAAAATGTAACAATATTTAACCTCCTAATTAAAAATATTAGTTTGTTGATATCGTTACTAAGATATAATGGGATAAAACTTGAACTGCTATTATTAGTTCATAATATTATCGTAGACGGAAACGTAACAGCGGAATTGTGTTTCCCATTGCCAACGGAAAGCACTCGCTGCCGGTGGGCAGTTTAGTCTTCGAGACGTCATGTGGCGATGCACGCTTTTACCCCAGAGTCTGGAGCAAAATGGGCTTAATGATGCACTTCATAAAACGCATTATACACTTTAACATGCCATTTTAGCTTTTATTCACTAGAGATAATGGAAGAGTTTTAAATAGTCTTAGAAATCAACGCCGTAGGCACGACGATGAAATGTACTTGTGATATTTTGTTGAGTTTCCTTCTTTTGTCTTTTGTCACGTTTTATGAAAAACGTTGCTGTATTTCGTTGAATTTAAAGCATTTTTTAACTATTTATAATAATCAGTGAAAATGTTTGTTGCGCTTAAAGTCGATCTATGGTAATGAAAAACAATGTCAACTGCTTACAAACAAATCAACTAACTTAGCGGTATTTGCTTTATTTACCACCTACATATTGTGAAATAGACCCTTTTACCGGTAACGAGGCTTTCCATCCATCGTGGTTGCAAGGGGAGTTAGCATCTGCATTGTGATTCTTAATAGAGGACAAATTTCATTTAATAGATATTTGCGATCCATCCGATGGCAAGTGAATGCCGTGGCCCATAAATAGTATTTATAAATCCACTTGCCATCGGTTGGACAGTGTGCTCGATCGTCATCTATACTTTCATAAAAAAATATTTGCCATTCAACCTGCTGTACCTACCCAGGAGCCGCGGCCGAGAGCTATTGTCTACTAGAAAAAAATATATAAAAATTCATTAGGTTTAAAAAAAGTTGAGAATTTTTATTATTGCCCATTCATTAACGGGCTTCACCTTTTGTTGCACGCTATCTTTGTCAATTGAAGCGATTTTTTTTTTGTAGTGGCATTGTACTGTGATAACTGTATTAATGAATCTTTTTTATTCAATCGGTTATCTTTCAGGGGTGTTTTGGTGAAAAAATTATCCACCCCTAAAAATGCAAAAATGTGATGTTACCTTGCCTGAGCTTGTGATACATATTTCTTAGTCCATTCAGAGTTAAAACGTTATACTTTGATTAAAATAAGTAAAAGCTGACTTCAAAGTAATGTAAAGTACACTCTATATACGTTCCACGGCTGGGCACAGGCTTAGTGTCATTTCTGATGCTGATTTGATTCCGATGCTGCTGCCCCAATGCGTGTTGGCGAATTTTACATGTCTACGAAATATTTTTTTGTGATTTCTCAGATAAGTAGCTTTACACGCAATGTTTTCCTTCATCTCTGAGCACGTGGCAAATCAGCACTTAAAATTAAAATCAGGGCATTGATGTATATATTACACTAGATTAGTAATTACCGCACCAAAGCGTTGCCACTGCACATATGGCCACAGCCACGACGCCGACCGAGTTGAGCCAAACGATCCGCGGAAAAATGTTTAAATGCGTAGTGAAAGAATGCGATTCAATGTCATAAAAACATAATAAATCAAGCGGAATCATTTTCCACTCGTAAGTTTGAGTTCATGTTTTCGTATAAACG